TAATCGATACCATCTAATCCCTGGCTAGATTTGACCTTGAGATTTCTAATTATGAATAATAATTCTTCTTCCGTCAGAGTCTAGAAACTCATTGTAGTTCTCACTTTCAAACAAAGGCGTCTTATTACATACCTATCCTACTCTAAGTTCAACAATCTGTCCAAGAATCTTCGCCATTTTGTCCGAAGAATATTCGTTAGCTGTCGATTATATCTAGATTGAAATTTTTTGACTGTTTTCCAAACAAAGAATGAATCTGTCTTTCCTCAAGCCTTCACAGAAGTCTTTAAATTTATCTTGTTTAATTTTACGAAGTTCTCGTTTCATAATCGCCACACTTTTTTTGTAGTTTATAAAGTCTTCCCTCAAACCTGTCTGTTTAAACTTCTCCAAAGCTTCCTTACGAAGGTGGAGAAATTTGTCACATTCATCTGTCCATGGACATGAGGGAAATACTTGATTTTGTTTCTCTTTACGTCTCTCAGTATGTTTGAACGGAATAGCTGATGAAATCGCCTCGATTATGGCAGTGAATATCGAATTCACAGTTTCCATTTCCATAGATTCTAGATTCGTAATAAGTTTTACTTTCTCATCCATCACGTCACGAAAAAGTTCCCAGTCTGTGTCCTTAGCGTGTAGACGCAAAACTCTCCCATTCCCAATTCTGCAATCCGGCTTAGGCCTCAATGATAATAGGCAGATGATCACTGCTCTATAGATCAGGACCAACATACTATTAGTTCAACACTAACGCAAGCGAAGCATTAGTCACAGTCAAATAAATTACGGAATTAATGTGATAAGATGAACAGTGAAAAGTGGGGGAGCCATTGTTCAGCAATGATAGATCGCTACTATCTATTGTCTCCCACAGACTATCACTAGTATGGCAAATATTGGTAGAGCCCTAAATGATGTTGGTGGAGTTAAAATCTCCACCAAAAAGAATTTTATCTTGAAATTGTGAGAAGAATCTTTCCCATTCACAAGTCCTAATAAAACCGATGTTTGACGGATGTAACACGAGACCAAAATGAGGGGTTCGCCCTCTCACAAGGATCTCGACTGCGCAAACTTCTACTTTATCTTCACATGTCTCGGAAATTTGTGCTCTTCTATATCTAATGTTATTCCTAATTTCAATCATTACACCTCCTTCGCGGTTAAGTCCTTCTCCTTCACCTGTATCGAACCCTCTTAAAACTTTTTTCAGGAGAGAGCCGTATTTCTGAAATTAAAATTAAATTAAAATCTTCGCAGTGTTTAGATAGTTCAGTATATTTAGACATGATAGATTTAGCGTTCCACTGTAGAATCCACAAATTACTAAGATTGAGTTTGCGATTATTTACTTGCGCCATTATCTTCTTTAACCAAACGTATCGCATTATGTGCAATCTATGGTTTTCTTAATTCTTCGCTCGCACAGTACTTCCGCATCCTTGTCTGTTAAGATCTGATCGATAATACTCGACAGGACCTTCTTGATGCCTTCCGTTGTTACTTGAGCTCAGCATCGATTTGTATGACGGGAAATTATCTGCCAGCTCTAGATAGCTCCTCTGAGTTTCATGGGCGGTAAAATCCATATTCGGAAGGCATAGAAAGTTTCTTAGTGATTTAACTAGAGTCACTCTCGATGAATTAATGTTCTTCTCCACGAGTAATCTCGTCTCAAAGAAAGGAAGATTATCAAAAGTCACAACCCTTGCAATCTCCATATGCTTTTTAAGAATTGGGCAATTACGGTCCATTGTATTGTGAGGGCCACTACAGTTAATACTTCTTTAAACCACAAGGCGCATCTCGAGATGAGCGATGATCACCAGCATAATTTAAGCAAGTCTCAGATTTTTCACAATATTTACTTATGTGACCAATACGGTCACATTTAAAGCATATCCTAACTGATTGCACATATGGAGAAACAGAAAACACCGCCTTCCAAATGATAATCTTGTCTGGCAAACTCTCGCCTCTGATTTCCAAGCATATTGCTTCTTAGTTCTCAAATTCTCTAGTAGATCTATTGCACCTTCTTCTAAAGAGATTAGAGATCATTATGTTAGAATTCTCTTCTTCGATGATTTTCTTTATTTCGTCCATATTTATATCTTCTGGAATCTCCTTAATGTTGCATTTATTTAATATTCCGGAGATTTTGACCAGCGACATTTTCTTCTTGCTAGATGCAGCAATCAGATCTGGAACATGACAATATAAAGTGTTCTGCTAAAAGCATCATACTTGAGTTTTCACTGTACTTGCGTTGCCAGAATTATTTTTATTTCCCTTAGGTACATCCTTATTCGCGCATTGCGGTAGGGTGATTCATGATCTTCGGATTCACAGCAATCCTAGATACCCTCTCAACAGAGGTACCTGAGTCACTCAGCTTTGATCTAACTTTCTTTGAGTCTTGAAGCAATCTGGTCGAGTGACTTGGTAGTAGAACCCTCGTCCGTCGTCGGATGACCGCGTTTCAAGGCGCCGACCATATCCATATTTGCAATTTCATCATCAGATAACTCCATTTTTGTACCTCGAGAAGTCTTTTGCAGCAGGAATCTCATCAGATCCTCTCTGATTTCTTCGAATCTTGGGGAATCCACGTGCCCGTCAACCGATGAACACATGTCTTGAAGGTTAAGTTTCGACATTTTGCTTGTCCCACCCGCCAAACAGTAGGAGAATGATAAAAAGACCCTTCCGAAGAATATAAAGGGTAAAAGTATAAAGCAGTATAAAGCAGTATAAAGGGAAGAGAGAGATGGAGCAAAAGTTTCTCAGTGAAATATTCCTCTAATTACTACCAAGTCGCAAAAAATTAAGCGCGCCAGAAAAAGGCGCCTTGTCGCTAATCTCGCCCAATCGAAAGTCTGATTTTATTTTCTTTCCCCGATTATGGTCCGCGCCATCTAATGCACTTAATTATCATGATGTTGACTGTATTGTCTCCGCTCATTAATTATTAGATTCCATTCCTCACTATTCTTTGTCCGCGATTTATACAATAGGTGTCCTTATTTATCTTGTAGATTAAACGAAAGACATCTCCGTATAGGTCGCGGACTAAGTGCACGGTGTAAACTTAGACATTGAATAGGTATAAAAATAATAGGGAACTAAAGTAATGATGAAAGTAACGGCTAAATTCATTACCGTTACTTTGAAAATGTAACCGTTACCATTAGAGACAGAAAAAAGTAATGATCGTTACTGAAAAAAATAACGAAAACAGTTACAAGTAATGCGTTAGTTCCCAACCCTGATGATATATGAACTTTTACTCTGGAATACAGCAAAAATGTAATGAACATTTCTTTCTGGAAGACAGCCTTATTCGGAGATGCAGTATATACGATACAGCGACATGTGATAGTGCCATATAAGGTTATCTGACAGCGAGCGAAATTCATTTCAACAAGAAATTGTCATCTGTATGCGAATGTATATAGAACGTTGTTGAAAGGATGGCATTATTTACTGGACATACTTCCAATATAACGAATCTAATTCCGCGCTACATTATCGCATATTGCATTTTACTTAATATTTGTTTATTAAAACGCGATGAAATCGAAATACCAATACCACGAGATTCTCGAATATGCTCGAAGAATTATGATATAAACCACTTAATATAAACAGTGAAGATCGCAATGAAGGATTCTTAAAAGAAAATTTAACTTGTAGATTCAGGAAGTAATAATAAATAATTATTATATATA